ATGCAAGGCTGGTTACTGTGCTTGTCAAAGATGTTCTAACCAGAATTCATTGAATTAAGATGCGCTACTATCTATATTGCTAGATTATGAAGTTAAATTCAAATTTTATCAAAATGTGAACAAAATCCAGTAAGTTACCTGAGAGCGACTTTTGGCTGCCGAGGGCCAAAATTGTAGCATTTGGAGACAGAATGGGTTATACATATTCACATTCCAAAGACCAAGGGTATATTCTCTACATGGGTACAAAGTGTGAAGCCAATTTCCAGTGTTATCCGCCGTGATATTGCTGTGATAAGGCTCAAAGCGGCGTAAGACCACTCTGACTCACTTCTGCTTCACTAGTAGAGACCAGAGTTAGAATTGATCTTCTTGAAATCCATTTCTTGTCGTAAGAGGCGACTGACGAGATCAGTTGGTGAGGCTCGCTAACTTGATTGGCACATGTCATCGTATCCAACTTGCGTAAATCGATGCCCCTGCTGTTGATCACTGGATTGTCTGGTCCAGATGCAATTATTATCACACCGCCTCCATATAGGTGGAATATTGCTGAGTGTGACGTAAAACTAAACTCACTCACTCAATTCTGCTCCATCAGTCATTTGATTGATGAATTTGTGTCTAGGATGTCGTAGCTTGGGATGTGGCTTCATGAAATAAATATGTACACTATGCAAAGTGTATGAACAGGGGCGTTGCATGTCATTGTATCCAAATTGCGTAGATCAATGCTCATGCTGTTGATCACTGGATTGTCTGGTCCTTTAATTACACATCGCCGCCATATAGCTGAAATATTGCTGAGTGTGGCGTAAAACTTAACTCACTCACTCACTTTACGAACCGCCATTGACATGGCTGAGTTTCAGTGGTCCCTTCATTTCAGTTCAAGCCTATCGCCGTTAAAGGGATAATCAAAGCTGATCATTCACTATCAGTATGTCCCACACAAGGAGGTTTGGTATTTAGCTAATCCATTATAATTGTTGTTTGCCTGTCTAAAATCCTTATCAACCTGAAAACAAAATGTCTGTAGACACCGTCTGGGACCATCAATATATAAAGATGTATGAATGAGCCTGTTTGTTTGTTTATTCTTTTGTATCTTTGTAGTGAGTATTTCCACACACAGAGTTGGTCACCGATCCCCAGTGGTTGGGCTAGCCTTGCTTGCTGCTGGTTTATAGCCCGTATTTTAATGGTATAAAGTGTAATATTGATAAGGATAGTTTCATGAATAAATGGGTAAAATGCACCGTCACACTGCCGCATTCGTTCAAAAACAAAATAGACTGACGTGTGTATATATATGAACTGAAAATTAAAATACGTTTAGAAGAAAGCAATGCACCCGTGCTGCTGGTGCAACGAGGTTTATCTGTGCCCTGACCCAAACTAGCACAAGAAAAAACACATGTATTATTTGCTCACAAGTAAGTGATAGTCTGCGAACAATTATGACATTTTAAAAAGCTGTATTTATGATGTTCATGGACATTTATCGTGTGTAGTTTTGACACTACATGATTGAATTACCGAGCTGCCGGATGGTCTATGACGAAATAAAGCTTACACAGCCATCCTGTTTTGGGATGTTCAACGCCGCACTCATCAATATTCCATTTAAATGGCGCCTAATCGAGTTTGGACCAGGCAATCAAGTGATCTATTGCATGAGCATCGGTCTATTCAATTGGGATGAGATAGTATTTAAATTGGGGGAAATTCGCATCACAATTATTACACTTCTAACTGTTTAGAAACGCTCTGTAAAGTTGGAGGTGGGTTTTCTGATGGCCTCTATGTACTATAAGATTTGAAACAGCTTGTAAGATATAGAGAGCCTTCTGGCATTTGTTCTTTAAATATGTTACATGAGGACGAAGAGGGCAAAATGATGATGGAAAATATTAGCAATGAATTTGGCTTCCTTTACAATTTTAACAGCAGTACTGTCAATAATTAATGTCGGAAAATACTTACAAGAGTCTATTTTTCAAACCACTTAATTATTTGTAATCAAACTCACACCAGCGGTTGGGATATGAAATATTCTACATTTCTGTGTAATTTCAAAGACGTAGTTAGATCCAGTCCGCAAAGGTGCAATTCTCACACACGGGTCACTTTTCAGAGCATACAAATATAAATGGAAGGGAAAAAAAATAAAGAAGCGCATCAATTCCCTGACCTATATAAATATACAATGAGGACACTAAGTATGTCAAGACTTGGCCAGACGGTTGCGAGAGCACTTTCTTTATTTAAACTGAAAACAGTGAATCAAGTCTGTTATGTTTGATGAAATTACAATGTGAAATTTTATGCGATCTCTTATTTTTTTCTCTCAGTATATGTGTGTCAAAAACACCGAGACGAGGAGGCGACAGTGGGGATGTCTACGGGCAGCCTCAACAGTTTACGGAAAGGAGCGATTGATTCAGAATGCATAAACAATAATCAGCGCTATCACGTCATGAGATATGTATGGTGAACGTCAAACGTTCCGATTGCTTTCTTGGAATTTGTGAGTGAACGTGATCACGTGACCGCCTTTGCCAGGACAGCTATGGGTTTGTGCGATGTGTTACAAAAAGTGGTTAAGAACAGAAAGTAAATATGTTGTAAGTCTAGAAGTATGAAGTATATAGTTTGACCGATATTTATAAGTAATGCTATAGGGAAAACCTTTCTGTTATGAATAAATCCGCAAATATCTTTGATTAAATTTGTCATTTCGAATATAGACGGTTTTGGTTCCATGACAATTACAAAAACATTTGTGCAAACGCAACCAGTCCCTCGCTCAAGGAAGTGAATTCGAAGTGGGAAGTTGGCCTGTTTAGCGAAGTTGTTGTTATTGAGTTTCCGAGAAGTGACAGCCCGGGCAAAAGTTAAAACCTTCTTAAGCTATAGAAGGCGGGTGAAAGAATCACAGAAACTGACGCATTGCAAATGCTCCAGTCAATGCAGAGAATGGCGAGTAGAAATACTGAAACTGCCAGGAGGTAGTGTCGAAAATGCCAGTAGTTCTGCTCACACGTTACCTGGTCTGTTTAGTCTTCGTGGTGGAACGACAGGCTACTGAAGGAAATACACGAAGAATGGACCTGCCGCAAGGAAATATACACATGTTCTTTCTGTCTTACAGTGATGCTCTGCAAGCTGTACCTGTTTCAAGATATCCTGTTGACAAGTGGCACTGGCTAATGTGGATACCCTCCTATTACACACCAGCATCCAGCTAAACAGTGGACATGTTTGCCCTACACGTCACATTCACACCTTTAACCAGCCTATCAGTGGATATGTCTGCCAATGGATACCACACTGACCACTGACATCTACAAGGGAGATGGATACCACCTCTTCATCAACACCTGTAACCATTGATCAGGGTACAAGCTGTCTACATCATACTGTGGGTGAACACTTGGTGGTCAGGGTACAAGCTGTCTACATCACACTGTGGGTGAGAACACTTGGTGGTCAGGGTACAAGCTGTCTACATCACACTGTGGGCGAACACTTGGTGGTAAGGGTACAAGCAGTCTACATTACACTGTGGGTGAACACTTGGTGGTCAGGGTACATGCTGTCTACATCACACTGTGGGTGAACACTTGGTGGTTAGGGTACAAGCTGTCTACATCACACTGTGGGTCAAGACTTGGTGGTCAGGGTACATGCTGTCTACATCACACTGTGGAGTGAACACTTGGTGGTCAGGGTACATGCTGTCTACATCACACTGTGGGTGAACACTTGGTGGCCAGGGGTACAAGCAGTCTTCATCACACTGTGGGTGAACACTTGAGTGGTCAGGGTACAAACTGTCTACATCACACTGTGGGTGAACACTTGGTGGTCAGGGTACAAGCTGTCTACATCACACTGTGGGTGAACACTTGGTGGTCAGGGGTACAAGCAGTCTTCATCACACTGTGGGCGAACACTTGGTGGTCAGGGTACAAGCAGTCTACATCACACTGTGGGTGAACACTTGGTGGTCAGGGTACAAGCTGTCTACATCACACTGTGGGCGAACACTTGGTGGTAAGGGTACAGGCAGTCTACATTACACTGTGGGTGAACACTTGGTGGTCAGGGTACATGCTGTCTACATCACACTGTGGGTGAACACTTGGTGGTTAGGGTACAAGCTGTCTACATCACACTGTGGGTCAAGACTTGGTGGTCAGGGTACATGCTGTCTACATCACACTGTGGGTGAACACTTGGTGGTCAGGGTACATGCTGTCTACATCACACTGTGGGTGAACACTTGGTGGCCAGGGTACAAGCAGTCTTCATCACACTGTGGGTGAACACTTGGTGGTCAGGGTACAAGCTGTCTACATCACACTGTGGGTGAACACTTGGTGGTCAGGGTACAAGCAGTCTTCATCACACTGTGGGTGAACACTTGGTGGTCAGGGTACAAGCAGTCTACATCACACTGTGGGTGAACACTTGGTGGTCAGGGTACAAGCTGTCTACATCACACTGTGGGTGATCACTTGGTGGTCAGGGTACAAGCTGTCCACATCACACTGTGGGTCAAGACTTGGTGGTCAGGTACAAGCTGTCTACATCATACTGTGGGTCAATACTTAGTAGTGAGGGTGCAAACTGTCTATATCATACTGTGGGTCAATACTTAGTGGCCAGGGTACAAGCTGTCTACATCATACTGTGGGTCAATACTTAGTGGCCAGGGTACAAGGTGTCTACATCACACTGTGGGCGAACACTTGGTGGTCAGGGTACAAGCTGTCTACATCACACTGTGGGCCAAGACTTAGTGGTCAGGGTACAAGCTGTCTACATCACACTGTGGCCCAAGACTTGGTGGTCAGGGGTACAAGCTGTCTACATCACACTGTGGGTGAACACTTGGTGGTCAGGGTACAAGCTGTCTACATCACACTGTGGGTGAACACTTGGTGGTCAGGGTACAAGCTGTCTACATCACACTGTGGGTGAACACTTGGTGGTCAGGGTACAAGCTGTCTACATCACACTGTGGGTGAACACTTGGTGGTCAGGGTACAAGCTGTCTATATCACACTGTGGGTGAACACTTAGTGGCCAGGGTACAAGCTGTCTACATCCAGAGTCAGTGAGTGAGGTGTAGTCACTGTATAACCCCCATACCCACCCCATTCACTTCACTCCAGAGTGAGTGAGTTAGGTGTAGTCACTGTATATCCCCCATACCCATCCCCTTCACTTCACTCCAGAGTGAGTGAGTTAGGTGTAGTCACTGTATAACCAAAATACCCACCCCTTGACTTCACTCCAAAGTGAGTGAGTTAGTTGTAGTCAGTATATAGCCCCCATACCCACCCCTTCACTTCACCCCTGTGAGTGAGTGAGGTGTAGTCACTGTATAACCCCCATACCCACCCCTTGACTTCACTCCAGAGTGAGTGAGTTAGTTGTAGTCAGTGTATAGCCCCATACCCACCCCCTTGACTTCACTCCAGAGTGAGTGAGTTAGTTGTAGTCAGTATATAGCCCCATACCCACCCCCTTCACTTCACCCCATGTGAGTGACTGAGGTGTAGTCACAGTATACCCCCATACCCAACCCCTTCACTTCACTCCAGAGTGAGTGAGTGAGGTGTAGTCACTGTATAACCCCCATACCCACCCCTTCACTTCACTCCAGAGTGAGTGAGTGAGGTGTAGTCACTGTATAACCCCATACCCACCCCCTTCACTTCACTCCAGAGTGAGTGAGTTAGGTGTAGTGACTGTATAACCCCATACCAACCTTCTTGACTTCACTCCAGAGTGAGTGAGTGAGGTGTAGTCACTGTATAACCCCATACCCAACCCCTTCACTTCACTCCAGAGTGAGTGAGTGAGGTGTAGTCACTGTATAACCCCCATACCCACCCCTTGACTTCACTCCAGAGTGAGTGAGTGAGGTGTAGTCACTGTATAGCCCCATACCTACCCCCTTCACTTCACTCCAGAGTGAGTGAGACAGGTGTAGTCATTGTTTACCCCCATACCCACCCCTTCACTTCACTCCAGAGTGAGTGAGTTAGGTGTAGTCACTGTATATCCCCCATACCCACCCCTTGACTTCACTCCAGAGTGAGTGAGTTAGGTGTAGTCACTGTATAACCCCCATACCCAACCCCTTTACTTCACTCCAGAGTGAGTGAGTGAGGTGTAGTGACTGTATAACCCCATACCCACCCCCTTCACTTCACTCCAGAGTGAGTGAGTTAGGTGTAGTGACTGTATAACCCCATACCCACCCCCTTCACTTCACTCCAGAGTGAGTGAGTGAGGTGTAGTGACTGTATAACCCCATACCCACCCCCTTCACTTCACTCCAGAGTGAGTGAGTTAGGTGTAGTGACTGTATAACCCCATACCCACCCCCTTCACTTCACTCCAGAGTGAGTGAGTTAGGTGTATTCACTGTATAACCCCATACCCACCCCCTTCACTTCACTCCAGAGTGAGTGAGACAGGTGTAGTCACTGTATAACCCCCATACCCACCCCTTGACTTCACTCCAGAGTGAGTGAGTGAGGTGTAGTCACTGTATAGCCCCATACCCACCCCCTTCACTTCACTCCAGAGTGAGTGAGACAGGTGTAGTCATTGTATACCCCCCATACCCACCCCCTTCACTTCACTCCAGAGTGAGTGAGTTAGGTGTAGTCACTGTATAGCCCCATACCCAACCCCTTCACTTCACTCCAGAGTGAGTGAGTGAGGTGTAGTGACTGTATAACCCCATACCCAACCCCTTCACTTCACTCCAGAGTGAGTGAGTTAGGTGTAGTCACTGTATAACCCCCATACCCACCCCCTTGACTTCACTCCAGAGTGAGTGAGTGAGGTGTCGTCACTGTATAACCCCCATACCCACCCCTTGACTTCACTCCAGAGTGAGTGAGTTAGTTGTAGTCAGTACATAGCCCCATACCCACCCCCTTCACTTCACCCCTGTGAGTGAGTGAGGTGTAGTCACTGTATAACCCCATACCCACCCCCTTGACTTCACTCCACAGTGAGTGAGTTAGGTGTAGTGACTGTATATCCCCCATACCCACCCCCTTCACTTCACTCCAGAGTGATTGAGGTATGATCACTGAATATCCCCCCATACTCACCCACCCACCCTTCACTTCACTCCAGAGTGAGTGAGTGGGGTATAGTCATTGTATACCGCCCATACCCACTCCGTTCGCTTCAATCCAGAGTGAGTGAGTGAGGTGTATTCACTGTATAGCCCCATACCCAACCCTTTCACTTTACTCCAGAGTGAGTGAGTTAGGTGTAGTGACTGTATATTTCCCATGCCCACCCCACCCCTTCACTTCACTCCAGAGTGATTGAGGTATACCCCCATACATACTCACCCACCTTCACTTCACTCCAGAGTGAGTGAGTGAGGTGTAATCACTGTAAAGCCCCATACCCAACCCTTTCACATCACTCCAGTGTGAGTGAGTTAGGTGTAGGCATTGTATAACCCCCCATACCCTGTTCGCTTCAATCCAGAGTGACTGAGATATAATCATTGTATACCCCTCATGCCCACCCAACCCCCTTAGCTTCACTCCAGAGTGAGTAAGGCACGCACACACACAAAACAAACCTCCCAGAACAAAACGAGTGACACTCTCACCCCCCACCCAAAAAAAATCATCTCACACACCCCACCCCCACTACCCTAATTTGGGAACACAAGGCTTCAACTCCAGAAGGTATGTTTTCTGTCTCCCAGTGGAAACAAAATTTTAGGGAACAATTTAAAACGTTCTCATTACTGACTCTTCTATAGTCATTGTATACCCCCCATACCCACTCCGTTCGCTTCAATCCAGAGTAAGTGAGTGAGGTGTATTCACTGTATAGCCCCATACCCAACCCTTTCACTTCACTCCAGAGTGAGTGAGTTAGGTGTAGTGACTGTATATTTCCCATGCCCACCCCACCCCTTCACTTCACTCCAGAGTGATTGAGGTATATCCCCCCCATACTCACCCACCCTTCACTTCACTCCAGAGTGAGTGAGTGAGGTGTAATCACTGTATAGCCCCATACCCAACCCTTTCACTTCACTCCAGTGTGAGTGAGTTAGGTGTAGTCATTGTATAACCCCCCATACCCTGTTCGCTTCAATCCAGAGTGACTGAGATATAATCATTGTATACCCCTCATGCCCACCCAACCCCCTTAGCCTCACTCCAGAGTGAGTAAGGCACGCACACACACAAAACAAACCTCCCCAGAACAAAACGAGTGACACGCCCTGCCCCCACCCAAAAAAATCATCTCACACACCCCACCCCCACTACCCTAATTTGGGAACACAAGGCTTCAACTCCAGAAGGTATGTTTTCTGTCTCCCAGTGGAAACAAAATTTTAGGGAACAATTTAAAACGTTCTCATTACTGACTCTTCTAATGAAATTTAACGTTATTGGTCAGGGGAAAATGCACTGCTCATAGGCCAGTGGCCCACCGACCGAACTGTCATTCCATTGGTCAAAAGTTTGTACTAACCCCAAGTGTATTGGTATTTGAGATTTTCATGAAAACTATACTTGATATTGATGAATGTAATTTGTTGGTAAACCTCATGTTCACGTTCTAGGAATGTATCATCAAATTAATCATTGTTGTAATTCAAATTATTCATTACAAAACTGAGGATCCTGTCTAAACATCTATTTCATTTTTCAGATGATTCAAGTGACCCTAAGGAGAATGGGAAGGGGGAAAGGAGATCTTGCCGGTTCCAATTTATTAACTGCAGTGTGCAGATATTGTAAAAAAATAAATCATTTTGAATGGTTCTGTATTTGTTTATTTATTGAAGATGTTTCCAACAAAAACATTGAGGTAGAGGCATAGGGTGGTCACACCCGATCTGCCAAGGGAAAAGTTCTTCGAGGTGCGATACCAGGAATAAGGTGAGACGAAGCCGAGCCTTGTTCCCGGTATCGCTCCGAGAGTTGGTCAGATAACCGCCCTTGGGGGTTATATGGTAACCAACCTCTGGGGAAGGTTGGTTATCTGATAACCAACCCCTTGAGAGGTCGTTCACAAAAATTAATAACCCCAGATATTGACCCGATAATCAACCCACGTGGTATATGAGATTTTAACCAATTCAACACTCATGTATACCCCCATACCCACCCCCGTTTGCTTCACTCCAGAGTGAGTGACTGTGTGAGTGAGGTATAGTTACTGTATACCCCCATACCCATTCCCTGTTTGCTTCAATCCAGAGTGAGTGAGAGAGAGAGTGAGTGAGTGAGTGAGTGTGTGTGTGTGAGTGAGTGAGTGAGGTATAGTCACTGTATACCCACCATTTGCTTCACTCCAGAGTGAGTGAGTGTAGTATAGTTACTGTATACCCCCATACCAATTCCCTGTTTGCTTCACTCCAAAGTGAGTGAGTGATTGAGGTATTGTCACTGTATAACCCCCATACCTACCCCCGTTCGCTTCACTCCAGAGAGAGTGAGGTATAGTCACTGTATACCCCCCATACCCACCCCTGTTCGCTCCACTCCAGATTGAGTGAGTGAGGTGTAGTCACTGTATAACCCCAGTACCCAACCCCTTCACTTCAATACAGAGTGAGTGAGTGAGGTATAGTCACTGTATACCCCCCATACCCACCCCTGTTTGCTTCACTCCAGATTGAGTGAGTGAGGTATAGTCACTGTAAACCCCCCATGCCCACCCCTGTTTGCTTCACTCCAGATTGAGTGAGTGAGGTATAGTCACTGTATACCCCCCATACCCACCACGTTCAGCTCCACTCCAGATTGAGTGAGTGAGGTATAGTCACTGTATACCCCCCATACCCACCCCTGTTCGCTCCAATCCAGATTGAGTGAGTGAGGTGTAGTCACTGTATAACCCCCGTACCCAACCCCTTCACTTCACTCCAGTGAGTGAGTGAGTGAGTTATAGTCACTGTATCCCCTCCATACGCACCCTCGTTTGCTTCACTCCAGAGTGAGTGAGGTATAGTCACTGTCTACCCCCCATACCCATCCCCGTTTGCTTCACTCCAGAGTGATTGAGTGAGGTATAGTCACTGTATCCCCTCCATACGCACCCTCGTTTGCTTCACTCCAGAGTGAGTGAGTTATAGCCACTGTCTTCCCCTCCATACCCACCCCCGTTTGCTTCACTCCAGAGTGAGTGAGTGAGGGAGGTATAGTCACTGTATAACCCCCATACCCAACCCCTTCACTTCACTCCAGAGTGAGTGAGTGAGGTGTATTCACTGTATAGCCCCATACCCACCCCTTCACTTCACTCCAGAGTGATTGAGGTATAATCACTGTATACCCCCCCATACTCACTCACCCACCCTTCACTTCACTCCCGAGTGAGTGAGGTATAGTCACTGTAGACCCCCCATACCCACCCCCGTTTGCTTCACTCCAGAGTGAGTGAGTGAGGTATAGTCACTGTATACCCCCCATACCCACCCACGTTTGCTCCACTCCAGATTGAGTGAGTGAGGTATAGTCACTGTATCCCTCCATACCCACCCCGTTAAGCCTTGACTCTCGAGTGAGTGAGTGAGTGAGTATAATCACTGTATACCCCCCATACTCACTCACTCACTCACCTCACTCACTCCACCCACCCACCCTTCACTTCACTCCCGAGTGAGTGACTGACTGACTGACTGACTGACTGACTGACTGAGTTTGGTTTTACGCCGCTGTTAGCAATATTCCAGCAACATCACGGCGGGGGACACCAGAAATGGGCTTCACACATTGTGACCATGTGGGGATTCGAACCCGTGTCTTCGGCGTGACGAGCTAACGCTTTAACCATTAGGCTACCCCACCGCCCCACTCCCGAATGAGTGAGGTATAGTCACTGTATACTCCCCATACCCAGCCCCGTTCGCTTGACTCCCGAGTGAGTGAGTGAGTGAGTGAGGTATAGTCACTGTATACCCCCCATACCCATCCCCGTTTGCTTCACTCCAGAGTGAGTGAGTGAGTTATAGTCACTGTATCCCCTCCATACCCACCCCCGTTCGCTTGACTCCCGAGTGAGTGAGTGAGGTATAGTCACTGTATACGCCCCATACCCATCCCCGTTTGCTTCACTCCAGAGTGTGTGAGTGAGTTATAGTCACTGTATCCCCTCCATACCCACCCCCGTTCGCTTGACTCCCGAGTGAGTGAGTGAGTGAGGTATAGTTACTGTATACCCCCCATACCCACCCCCGTTTGCTGCACTCCAGAGTGAGTGTGTGAGTGAGTGAGTGAGGTATAGTCACTGTTTAACCCCCATACCCTTTCCCTGTTTGCCTCACTCCAGAGTGAGTGAGGTATAGTCACTGTATACTCCCCATACCCACCCCCGTTCGCTTGACTCCCGAGTGAGTGAGTGAGGTATAGTCACTGTATACCCCCCATACCCATCCCCGTTTGCTTCACTCCAGAGTGAGTGAGTGAGTTATAGTCACTGTATCCCCTCCATACCCACCCCCGTTCGCTTGACTCCCGAGTGAGTGAGTGAGGTATAGTCACTGTATACCCCCCATACCCATCCCCGTTTGCTTCACTCCAGAGTGTGTGAGTGAGTTATAGTCACTGTATCCCTCCATACCCACCCCTGTTAAGCTTGACTCCAGGTGAGTGAGTGAGGTATAGTCACTGTATACCCCCATACCCATCCCCGTTTGCTTCCTCTCCAGAGTGAGTGAGTGAGTTATAGTCACTGTATCCCCTCCATACCCACCCCCGTTCGCTTGACTCCCGAGTGAGTGAGTGAGGTATAGTCACTGTATACCCCCCATACCCATCCCCGTTTGCTTCACTCCAGAGTGTGTGAGTGAGTTATAGTCACTGTATCCCTCCATACCCACCCCCGTTAAGCTTGACTCAGTGAGTGAGTGAGTGAGAGTGAGTGAGGTATAGTCACTGTATACCCCCATACCCATCCCGTTTGCTTCACTCCAGAGTGAGTGAGTGAGTTATAGTCACTGTATCCCTCCATACCCACCCGTTCAGCTTGACTCCCGAGTTAGTGAGTGAGGTATAGTTACTGTATACCCCCATACCCACCCCGTTTGCTTCACTCCAGAGTGAGTGTGGTGAGTGAGTGAGTGAAGGTATAGTCACTGTTTAACCCCCATACCACCCCCTCCTGTTTGCCTCACTCCAGAGTGGTGAGGTATAGTCACTGTATACTCTCCCATACCCACCCCGTTAAGCTTGACTCGGTGAGTGAGTGAGGGTATAGTCACTGTATACCCCCATACCCATCCCCGTTTGCTTCACTCCAGAGTGAGTGAGTGAGTTATAGTCACTGTATCCCCTCCATACCCACCCCCGTTCGCTTGACTCCCTCGAGTGAGTGAGTGAGGTATAGTCACTGTATACCCCCATACCCATCCCGTTTGCTTCACTCCAGGCGTGTGAGTGAGTTATAGTCACTGTATCCCTCCATACCCACCCCCGTTAAACTGGCTCGAGAGTGAGTGAGTGAGGTATAGTCACTGTATACCCCCATACCCATCCCGTTTGCTTCACTCCAGAGTGAGTGAGTGAGTTATAGTCACTGTATCCCTCCATACCCACCCCGTTAAGCTTGACTCCCGAGTGAGTGAGTGAGGTATAGTCACTGTATCGCCCCATACCCATCCCGTTTGCTTCACTCCAGAGTGTGTGTGAGTGAGTTATAGTCACTGTATCCCCTCCATACCCACCCCGTTAAGCTGACTCGGTGGTGAGTGAGTGAGTGAGTGAGGTATAGTCACTGTATACCCCCCATACCCACCCCGTTTGCTTCCTCCAGAGTGAGTGAGTGAGTTATAGTCACTGTATCCCCTCCATACCCACCCCCGTTCGCTTGACTCCCGAGTTAGTGAGTGAGGTATAGTTACTGTATACCCCCCATACCCACCCCCGTTTGCTTCACTCCAGAGTGAGTGTGTGAGTGAGTGAGTGAGGTATAGTCACTGTATAACCCCCATACCCTTTCCTGTTTGCCTCACTCCAGAGTGAGTGAGGTATAATCACTGTATACCCACCCCTCTCATACCCACCCCGTTTGCTTCACTCCAGAGTGAGTGAGTGAGTGAGTGAGTGAGTTATAGCCACTGTATCCCTTCCACATACCCACCCCGTTTGGCTTGACTCCCGGTGAGTGAGTGAGGTATAGTCACTGTATCCCCTCCACACATGCCCACCCCGTTCGCTTGACTCGAGTGAGTGGAGTGAGGAGGTATAGTCACTGTATCCCCTCCACATACCCACCCCGTTCAGCTTCACTCCAGAGTGAGTGTGGTGAGTTATAGCCAATGTATCCCTTCCACATACCCACCCGTTAAACTTGACTCCTCGGTGAGTGAGTGAGTGAGGTATAGTCACTGTATCCCTCCACATACCCGCCCGTTAAGCTTCCTCCAGAGTGAGTGAGTGAGTGAGTGAGTTATAGCCACTGTATCCCCTTCACATACCCACCCCGTTTGCTTCACTCCAGAGTGGAGTGGGTGAGGTATAGTCACTGTACGCCCCCCATACCCACCCCGTTTGCTTCACTCCAGAGTGAGTGAGTGAGTGAGTTATAGCCACTGTATCCTTCCACATACCCACCCCCGTTCACTTGACTCCCGAGTGAGTGGTGTGGGGGTAGGTATAGTCACTGTATCCCCTCCATACCCACCCCCGTTCAGCTTGACTCCCGGTGGAGTGAGGTATAGTCACTGTATCCCCTCCACATACCCACCCCGTTCGCTTCCTCCAGAGTGAGTGGTGAGTTATAGCCACTGTATCCCTTCCACATACCCACCCCGTTA